TGGTTGGTTGGTTGGTTGGTTGGTTGGTTGGTTGGTTGGTTGGTCTCTTGGTTGGTTGGTTGGTTGGTTGGTTGGTTGGTTGGTTGGTTGGTTGGTTGGTTGGTTGGTTGGTTGGTTGGTTGGTTGGTTGGTGGGTGGTTGGTTGGTTGGTTGGTTGCTTGCTTGCTTGCTTGCTTGCTTGCTTGCGTGCTTGCGTGCTTGCTTGGTTGGTTGGTTGGTTGGTTGGTTGGTTTATCTGTTTGTTGGTGTGTTTTTTTGTTCGTCTGATTAGCTGGCTTGGCTTGCTGGCTGGCTGGCTTGCTTGCTTTGCGGAGTGATTGGGCGAACACGTGCCCGTCCAACACTAAGACTCACTCAAGTGGATTGGCCAAAGTCCGAACTTTCTGTTTACCGCTACAGGTTTTCCCAAAAAGCTGAAAGTCCGGGAGCTCATGAGGTGAGAAGACCCTTAAGCCGAGTTGCCGCCGCCGGGGATGCCATACAGGAGATAGCCTCGCCGGTAAGGGATGCCTCAGTGAGTCTGGAGAGCTCACCCTGCAAACCCCAAGAGCTCCCCAGGTTTGTGAGGCAAAAGCTTCCTCAAGCGCGACAGAGGCCCTGGCCCTTGCCTGAAAACCGATGACTCACCTGCGGGTCACGTGAGAATGTTGATATCCGGCGCCATGCAATAGCGGCCCACAGTTGGGCATGCTTGGTGGTAAATGTACCTGGAGTCTCCTTCCGACCCTTTAAAAATGGTTGGTCATTACCCCAAATAATGGTTGGTCATGGACCCATTTTTATTTCGGGTCCTTAGGGAGACTCCAGGTACGCAGAGGCACACAAAAGTCGCGTCTAACTTCTTGACCGGATTGTGTCCCATTCTGAGCCCCCCAAAAAGAAACACATCCCATATATCCCACGTTGCAGGCTCCTTCTGAGGTCACGTTTTGGTTGATTGATGCTTCCGACTTCTGCGGGTTTCCTGATTTCGGGCGGGTTTCTTCTACCTAAGGCCCATAGAGCTGGGTTTGAAGGGAGAAGAAAAAACAACAAATGTGACTTTGAGAACCCCAGAGTTACAGTCAAAATCACGACGCCCCAGTAGATGTGTTTGTTTCCTTGAGACCACCCTCGCTTTCGGCCAGGACGCCTCGCTCCGTATACCAGGACTCAGAGTTCAGGAACTCCCGAGCATCGTCCAGGAGAACCTCCAAAAAAGCCGACCAGTCGGCCTAAAGGGATCGGTATTTACCATGGAAACCCGATCGGTTTTTCAAAAAATACCCTAGAAAAAGTGGGTATTTGGAGTAGGGGGTAAATGAACCCTTTTGAGGGCAAGGAGAGTCAAGTCTGGCAAGGGGTAGATGATCTTTGCTGTTGACAAGACCCAAAGGTATCAAACTCCAAAAACAAAGAACATGGATGGGTTCCCCTCCGTGGATCTCCCCAGGCGCGCTTCCCAGTTGTACTCTCTCAGTTCCCCGTGGGCACGTGCCCTACTCTCAACCAACATACACGCATTGGCGGAAGTACCCCCATTGTCGAGGCGACAGATTCCCCAAACTTACCAGAGCATTTTGCCAAACAGCTAAACTTTACCTATCCTGTCAGGTGGAAAGCATTGCCTTTGGGAGAGCGGCATCAATTTGGGACAAACCTTGGAGCCGTCTTCCCAACCACGCACAGTTTCCCCTATGTGTTGTTTTGATCATGTCAGCCCACCAGAATCACATTCACAGTCAGTTCTTTGAGGGCCAACCCAAGACCTGAAGTGTGCCATCATACGTTGCTTCCGTGGGAAGAACATCGGTATTATTAGTATATGTATGAACAGATATCCACCACATGGGAATCGGCCACTGCTCGTTTTGTTTTCAACTGTATATACCCCTCAGACAGATCATTTGGGGGATTCGCAACCCAGTGTGCAGTATGAGTGTGGCGTTGTTTGATGGAACCCTTTTTGCTGTGTTGTGCCTTCCCCAAAACTAGAATGACCAGAAGACACACCAAGGAGGCATTGGCGGAAGCAAAAGGTCTCCTCTTGGGACTAAGGTGTGTTCTTGCACGGCTCCCCCGCGTTGTTAATTTTGCAGATATATATATATATATATATATTCTATTTATATATAATTCGGGTAGACAAGTTGCGTGAGTGTTCCAAACTCTCCAATCTAAAAGACTGAGGGTTCGTAAATAAGACTTTGTGTGTGAGGTCGCTGTAACATGTCCTGATAGGTGTTCTTTGCATGCGTCTCTTTCCCTGCCAATTCTTCGTTCCGAACCATTGATGAAGACAGTGCCAGATCATGCCCAACAGGCACGGCGCATACAATCTCAAACGCAGCTCCACGTGCATGACATGTGATGCACATTCAGGTTAAGTTGTTGCGTTGAATAGTTGACACACTGCCGACCATGCCGAAGAAACTGTACCTCCTCTTTGGGTGGCTTTGTGTTGAATCATGGGTGCGATTCCCTGCCTTCTTACAGCTCAATGTCTCAAGTGAGGTGCATG